AAACAGAGCCGGTGTCTCACTAAGTTTCAAGATTGCCCAGGCTGAGTTTGAACTTGCCAACCTCCTGCCTCAGCCTCCCAGTGCTAGAATTATAGGTGTTCACCACTCTACTCAGCTAAAGAACAATTTTATATAAAAAGTTATCTATATATTTGTTGAGGTTTCAAACTATGTGAAAAACTCAGTGAGAATCAAGCATCCCATTCATAATAAATACAGTTGTCTTTGTTAGAGCTCATCAATGTGACACTCACCATTGTTGAAAAGTGATCTGTATTATTTTATAAGGAACAAAAGTGCTCAGTGGCACAGCACAGTGGCAAATTCTGCAGGTACCTGAGTTGCTCTTTAGAGAGTAATGAGAGAGCTGAAGTCACCCTCCAGCCAGGACCCAGAAGGCCTATGTGCAGCCCAAAGGGAGGAGGGGGGGGGGCTGGGCAAGAAGGGAGGCAGGTCCCTCTGAAGTCACGCACATCAGCAGGCGCACATGTGCTGGCAGTGAGCACACAGGGAGATGCGGCTGAAGTCACACTGGAGGCCAGGAGCGCCAGGAGAGCCAGCCATGGCTGGCCAAGAAGCACACGGAGCCCGCACGCGGATGTGCAGAGCTCACAGGCTCTCTAATGCAGGCAGATGTGAAACTCTTGAGCTTTGCATTTCAAATCCAGACAGCTTGGAATGGAGAGGGGCCTGGGATTCTTCACAGATCAATTTGGTTGTGCTTTTCCCTTGAATAGGAAGAATACAAGTTATTAGGGGTAAAGGAAATGCAAATGACAGGAAGGCCAGGGACAGCTAGGAAGGGTGGCAAGCAGCTGAGACCCTCGAGACGCAAAGGTGCGGGGAGAGGTCTGGGGAGACCTGCTCCTTCACAGGGCAGCGGGCTGAGGGCCCTGAGCAGAGGTGGGGTGCACCGCAGCATTCCTTCAGGTTATCATGAGCCCCACAGACCCAGTCCCTGGGCAAAGACATGAGTGGGCCATCTGCAAAAACACCAGGACATCTTCTCTTCTTAATTCTTGGCTACCCATCAGTCCAGGCTGTGGAACTCTGTCCCTGCCTACAGGATTTACCAAGCAAAGTGTGTATTTATAACTACAAAAAGAAAGTCAGTGGTTGCTCAAAATATAAATAGTCAAAGTGAAAGAATAATAAAAGCTCCCGTGTCTGAGGACCTCAGAAACAAGCAGACGAGGAAGTGTTTCTTGCCAGTATGATTAAAGCCTTCCCAAGGTGCCCTCCACTTACTGTGCTCCTTGTTGGCTACTTATTTAAACAACTTCACACATGCATCAACCTCTCTGCCATCAGCAGCACGCTTTTAGGAAATTTTCTAAGTACTGATCTACTTTTTTCTCCCCAGTTCAATAATGAGAAAGTTGATTTCCCTGATAACCAGGTAAATTAATACTGTACATACAAAGCTGAATATTCAATTTCCAGAGATGTTTCCTCACTTATAACTATAATATTTCTATGATTATAATGTGTGGAAATCTGGAAAACTATTACCAAATGCCTATCAGGCAATATTTAAACCCTCTACTCCTGTCAGCAGGCACATCACTGTGGGCCACCTATTTATCCTTCTTTAATGTCCCTCTGTGTCCTCTGGAGCAGGTAAATTCAGGAACAGCGGGTACAGAGCACAAAAGGGCCCTAAATAGAAGCCACTGCGCTCAATGAGGGCTGGCATCTGCGCTGTGCCTTGTAGCCTCATACGCCCCTGCACGCTGAGCTCCTCCTCCTCCTCCTCCTCCTCCTCCTCCTCCTCCTCCTCCTCAGCTATGAGTGACCTAACACAAGCAGATTACTTGCAAATAAAAGCTTTACTGATGCAAAAGCTAAAGCAGAACTTGAACGGCTGCACTTCTGTTTGGTGAGCTGTGAAAGTGCCCCACAGCACGGGACAGTCATGCTCAAACCAAGCAGACAGCTCAGGGCCCCAGGAGGCCCTGGGAGGCCCCAGGAGGCCTGAGGACTCCTGTGCATTTGCAGGCTTCTTCAGGAATACAACTGAAGAGGCAGGAGAGGGATGGGAGAAGAGAAGAAAAAAACATGCCAGAGACCCCAAGCGCCAATTCTCTGGACTTAAGATTACACTTTGTTCCCAGGAAGTGTCCCTGCCCCTCCCCACGCTGCTCCTTGCTCTGGAGCCCCCCTGAGCTGGTGGACGCACATCTGTACTATTACCTCTCTACACTGCACAGATACCAGAGGGAAGGACAACACAGCAGCCAAAAAGCATAGAACTGAGGGAGGCAGGGAGGGAGGGAGGGAGCACAGGAGGCAGGTGCCGTGTGCAGTGATGCCACCGTCAGGGCTCGGAGGACAGGAACGGGCCCACTAGTGAGGAAGTGAACCGGCAGCATCTCCGCGCCAGGACAAGCACCTGGCCACAGGCCGCTAAACACCTGGAGCCTGGGTGCACACAGGTACCGATGCCTCTTCACAATGCCACACAAGAAGAGAGATGAGGTTGAATGAGAGAAATGGGACACCCCAGACATGGCAACTGCGACAGGGGCCTCACAGGCAAAGGACGCTGGGAAAGTGCTGAGATGGAGACAGGAGACTGGCACAGAAGCGCTCTCCTCCACCAAACAGGCTCCCGGTGCCAACCAGGATGGAGGCTGTGACAATTACAGATAATGCACCTAAGTGCCCACTAGTGGCTGTCATTAGTGTAATTAATCCGATTAAAATAATCAGGAGCAGACAACAGAGGAAAGTACAGGAATAGACAAGGCCGTACTGGCCACAGCAGTGAAGGGGACAGCTGTCCCCACAGCTACAGGCTTGCGAGAGGGAGAGGGACACAGCTGGAGCTGGCATGGACCTTGTGCACTACACAAGGCCGGGAGGGTGTGAGCACCAGGAGAGAGGCAGCCACTGAGCTTATTATTAGCGGTTGGGAGTTTATCAACCCAGCTGGTGGATGGGCATGAGCGGGCCCCTCTGGCCATGGCTCAGCCAGCGAAGAGGTGCCAAAGCCAGGCAACTGCAGCCTGTGAGACCTTCAGATAAGGATGCAGCCCCTGTGGTCACGGATAGAATCTCATTATTTTGCGCTGACACCACAGGTGTGATGGGGCGCACCTCCTACCACTCACAACCACCCCTGGGCTGGCTTCCACACCTGTTCCAGCTGTGTCTGTGGTGGCCTCTCTGCAGAGGGGCTCCCTTCGCCGCCAATAGGCAGCCTTCAAAACCTTGTGCCTCCCGACAGCGCCCTGTGGCGTTGGCCCACTGAACATGTCCCCAGCGGCCTGTCCCTTCCTGCTCTAAGTTAGGTCCCCCATAGTCAAGAGCCTGCTTCACCTGCAAGACCAAAGCAGAAGCTCGGGAGCGCGCACTCTTTCAATCTAACGACCATTTGTGATCACTATCACAGCATAAGACTTCTTTAATTAAAGTCCTTAAAATATAAGGTTAAAAATAAAATACCCTGATCAAAACAGAAAAGCAGAGATCCAGAGTGGGAGGGTACGAGGACAGAAAAGACACCCTGAGTGCCTTGCTTTCCCACGGAGAGTCCAGAGGGAGCGAACCCGGCCGATGGGGTCTAGTTAATACGAGTGGCCCTTCTCTGGTGAGTCAGCCTGCAGCTACGGACGGTCCCAGAGAGAATGACAGTCGCAGCACCTGCGGACTCCCGGGCCCTCCTCTCGCTCCTCAGCCAGGCTCCGGTCGGTGCCGCTGGCTGCCAGCGCCCTCCGTGCCCGCATCCAGGGCCGCGACCCGGGCAGCCTGTGCCCATGGGCTACACCGACCCCCGCAGCCCGCCCACTTCCTCCGAGGCAAACAGGCCCGGCGGCGCTCGCGAGCGCTGTCAAACTCGCCGGGCGCAGCGGATCGCGGGTGGCGGCGGGCAAACCCAGCGCCAAGCCCCCTCCTCGACTCTCCTGCACCCGCGGAGACGCCGCCTGCGCCCTCTGAGCTCCGGCCGCTCACCGATCTTGGCCAGCGAGGCCAGTAGTATCCACAGCGTAATCTCGAAGGGAATCTGCACGTGCGGGTAGTCCAGCGTGAACACCGGCAGCCGGCTCTCCTCGAGCGGCGTGGTCCCCGGCGCCACCACGCTGGCGGGGCTGGGTGGGTCGGCGCTAGTGGCCCCGGGTCCGGGCGCATCCGGCGGGGTCTCGGCCGCGGCGCCCGGCAGCAGCGCAAGAAGCAGCAGGAGGCCGCG